TTTAATGATAGCCTTATCAATGTACCATTTGTTTTGACATAGATAATTTCTAATTTAGTATAACCTAATCTCATCCAAGTTCTAATCTTATCCATTGATTGTAACAGATATGGTGTCGAAAAATAGAGAATTTCTAACGCTGCGTTATTGTTTAACTCATTCACCCCTGAAATTTATTAATGAACTATTCCAACCTTTGAACTGGAAGAGTTCAAATGTGTCTTCAGGGGTGAATGAGATACCTAATCTAATGCACTGAAATATACCGTTACATATGATGTAGATATTATATTATAGCCAATAGTTCTTTCATTTTAATCAATATTCAATGTAGACATATTCCCAACAGAACTCTAACGTATGATTTTTTTAATTTAACACACGGATTGGCATTTTTGTAACAGAATATGGATTGAAAAAAGATATGCGGGTATTCACTTTCCCTTATGTTGCTATATTGTGAAGTTTAATGATCGTGTTACACCCAGGTAGAGATTGGATGTCGCAGAATATGGGTTGTTGACATGGATTGATCAGGGACATACAAGGATGAGGACAGGCTCTGTTATCAGGGATCAAAGATTACTAGATAACAGCTGATAGAGAAACATGTGGTCACATGCAACCTCTATCACATGTACATGTTAGCTTCTCCACTGGTGCAGTTATGTAGGCCTACATATCTCAGTCTATACCAGTATTAAAATCTGATACAGAAGGTCTGTGTTGTACACCAACGTGATTTTAATTATTATTCTCCAGCCCACTTATTTCATGGGGTATATCATAATTTCTTTTCTCAGGGCTCCATACTTCTGTGTCTGGGCATTCTTCTGTCTGGAGTAAAAGATCTGTTAAAAAATCTCATGAACCCCTCAACAAATTTTATTTATATTTTAACAATATTATGGTAATGTCATGTTTGATTAGATTTTGGTGTCATTGGGCAAGACTTACGGATCAGAGGTCATACCTGACCATTTTTGAAGTAAAACACTTTGTGTGCATGATAGCTCATGATATCTGAACATATTTAGTTTATATTTACACCATAGGTTGGAAAATTGAGTTTTACACCAACAGAATTTTTTGGAGTTCATCTATCAAGGGTCAAAGGTCACACTTGACCACTCTTGAAGTAAAAAGCTTTATGTACAAGATATCTCAGCAGGGGGAGTTTATAGTCAGATCAATCAATTATGGTTATCGTACAGGACAACTTTCTATAACCCAGAGACAGGGAATAATAACTTGTATACCAAAAGCAGATAAACCAAGGCATTTCATTAAAAATTGGAGACCCATATCACTTTTAAACATTGTGTACAAAATTGCATCAGGAACTGTAGCTAATAGGATAAAAACTGTTCTCAATAAATTAATAAATAATGATCAAACTGGTTTTCTTTCGGGTCATTATAAAGGGGTAAATACAAGATTAATATATGATATTATGCATTATACTGAGGAGAATGACATACCTGGCATGCTACTGATGATTGATTTTGAGAAGGCATTCGATTCAGTGTCTTGGTTATTTATTGAAAAAGTTCTACTTCTCTTTGGTTTTGGTAATAGCATTGTAAACTGGTTTAAAACTTTACATAATAATGTTCATTCAGCTATCAATCAGGGGGGAAACATATCTTCATTCTTTGATATCAGGAGGGGCTGTCGACAGGGGGATCCAATCGCACCGTATCTGTTTATTCTGTGTGCAGAGGTTTTGGCTACAAAATTGAGAAATAATAGAAATGTAAAAGGTATCGAGATTGAAAGTTGTCCTATTTTATTATCGCAATATGCTGATGACACCTCACTTATACTTGATGGCTCTGAGAAATCTCTAAAGGAAGCAGTAAAAGAACTACATGAATTTGCAAAAAAATCTGGTTTAAAAATGAACATTGATAAAACTCAGGTGATATGGATTGGTAGCAAAAAGTATAGTGAAGATTGTTTTTTACCTGAACTTAATTTGCAGTGGGGAAAAGAAAAATTTGTGTTGCTAGGAATTGAATTTAGTGTGAACCTTCATGAAATACCAAAACTTAACTTTGACAAAAAACTTATCAAACTAAAATCTCTAATAAAAATTTGGAACAGAAGGTCATTAACACCTATTGGAAAAATTAGCATTATCAAATCATTGCTCATCTCTCAATTTAATCACCTGTTTATATCATTACCAAATCCAGATGATAGATTTATTAACAAACTCAACTCAATATTATTTGATTATTTATGGAGTGGAAAACCAGACAAAATTAAAAGAGAGATAATTATTCAAAATTATGCTGATGGTGGTTTGAAGATGATCAATCTTGTTGCTTTTATAAACTCTCTTAAACTTACTTGGATCAGAAGACTCTATCAGAGTACTGAGAAATGGCAGGCCATACTTAAAACTTATATTGACATAGATCTTCTTGCAAATTGTGGTTCTGAATATATTCAGATATGTGTAAATAAGTGTAAAAATAAATTCTGGAGTGATGTGCTCAGATCTTGGTACACACTAAATACAAAATATTATGATAAAATTCTTCAGGAAAACATATTGAAAGTTCCCATTTGGTATAATAGTAAAATCAAGATAGGAGGAAGAGCTGTTTTTTACAGAAAATACTATCAGAAAAACATTTTTATTATAAACGATATGATAAAGGTTAGCACAGGTTTGTTTTACACATTTGTAGAATTTATTCAAAAATACCACGTAAACACAATTTTTTTACAGTATCAGGGCCTTGTCTCTGCAGTTAAAGACTTTATTTCATCCCATAATACATACAGATATGAGATAATTTATCCCTACATACCTATCAATCTAGATTTTTTTCTTAGAGATAAAAAAGGGTCAAAAATGTTTTACAACATCATAATTAAAGCGGACAAGATACCATCCGGCACCAGAAAATGGAATACTATATTCGACAACATGGATAAACTAACTTGGTGTAAAATCTACAAAATGCCTTTCTGTGTAACAACAAATACAAAACTCCAGTGGTTCCAGTATAGAGTGATTCATCATGTACTTACAACTAATTCATTTCTATCTAAAATTGGAGTAGTTGTCTCCCCTCTTTGTGTATTATGCAACTCTGAACCGGAAACAATTACTCATATATTATGGGAATGTGGGGAAGTACAAAGATTACTAGAAAGTTTTGACACATTAATGGAAGCTCTTTTAATCCCATTTTCAGTAAACAAAAAATCTTTTCTTTTTGGCCTTCTTCATCAGAATTTTCTTCCCAGTAATCGAGTAGATAATGAAATCATCATCATTATAAAGCAGTATATTTACAGAATGAGATGTTTACATAACTCATTAAATGTAAACGCTCTTGTAAACATAATAAAGGACAACTATCAGATTCAAAAATACATTGTTAATGGTAAGGATGAAAAAGCTAAACATAAATTTGAAAATGACTGGAAAAAATGGGACAAACTAATTAAGCTGTAATACATTTCTATTATCATTATAATTATTATCTTTGAGACATACTCTATCATACATATTTTAAGTTCTGCCCTTCACAAAGCCGATATATTACCTATATATAATATAATATACATGAGTGAATATCCACCTCCTTTTTCCACCATCTCGCCCAACTTTTCATACATTTCTTCTCTCGTTTCTTTATGTTCTCTATTCTCCCTTTCTTTTTATTTTCTCAATCTCTATCTCAATTCCTCTTTCTTATAAAGACAATGCAATGTACTCAGTAGACTGTGCAAATTTTTCATTTACCTTTTTGTGTGGGACTGATATTTTTTCTCTTTGCATAAATTTACATTTCAATAATCAGTACTAGTACATACAGGAATGTCTGAAAATGTCTAATATCATGCATATGGGTTTGTGTGAGTACAACGCATGCGAGTATGGTGAAATCATCTTAATTATGCTTATGCATGGACATGGGTGTTTTTGACATGGACATGAGTTATACAGTATGTGCGGTTATATAAAATTTAATGCAGATATTGTTTCTAGCATAAAGATATATACTGTACCATATGTGATGAAGGTTGATATGTGTTCTATTTTTACACGAGACATAGCAATGAATGGTTGAGACATATATATGTCAGACACATGGATGGATACATATATATAGGTAATAAAATGTTAAAATAGACGGAAATGAGTATGTATGCTATTGTGGTTAAATATCATCGTGAGAATGTATGTACTCTATGACAAATGTGGACATAACAGATATAGGTTTATGTATGTATGTGCCTGTATACAAATGAGTGAACGTTTTGTTATTTATTGTACATGTACATTGCATTGATGAAAAATCTGAATAAAAACATAATTAAAAAAAAAATAAAAAATAAAAATATCTCAGCAGGTATAGTTTATATTCACACCATGGTAGATTTGATGTCTCCACCTGATAAGAGTTTGGTGGTCAACGGTCAAATGTCACACCTGACCACTTTTGATGTAATAGCAAGTGTATAATATAAACCATGAACCAACCCCTCGACGCTATAGAGCATTTTAAGTTGAGGTATATAGTTATGGTGTAACTGGATGATCACCAAGTTGTTGTTAATTTAAGTTTAAAGATCTTTATTCTTTTTGACATGAGGAGATATCTCTGGCAGCAATAAATGGTAGACATGTACAAATACATTCAAAGATACCAAGGCAACAAGTTGGAAGATACCATGAAAGCCAATTAAAAGATATCAAACAAACAAAACCAGAAATGAAAAAATACAAATATTGGAGACATACAGAACCATTTACCCTATTATAGCTAGAGAAGGGAGGTAACTCAAGGATAACACAATTGATAATGTAATACAGTTAAAGTAATGGCTTTAGGGATAATAAAGTAAATTTCTATTAAAGTGGTTTGAAGGAATGACTGAATGTGGAGTGATTCAAGTAGATATATTTATATTTTTGACAGGCGTTTTACTATCATTCTCACAAATACAATGCCTTTCTGAATCTTGTTTGACAGATGCACGAGGAATCCATATGCAGCATGTCTATGACTTCTATAAGCCAGACCTGGCATCAGAGTACCCAGTGGTGGACGGCAAGCTGTCCGTGCAGTGTTACCAACATGCCCTGGACATGTGCTACGAACGCTACTCTGGGAAGGCGAAGCAAGAAGGATTCAAAGGTCAGGACTGACTGACAAAACAGATTCAAACTAGTTACTTCAACTCATTCACCTCCTGAAGTCTCATTTGAACTCTTCCAATTCAAAGGTTGGAATAGTTCATTATGAAATTTAAGGGGTGAATGAGTTAATAGAAGAAAAACATCAGGAAATATTTGTTTATGTTATAATTGGCAAAATGTATGATTATACATGTATATGTAATTTGCTTGCAAATTCAGACATAATGCAGATATTACTGAAACTTTTGAATGTAATGTGTAATGGAACTATGATTTTAATGTGATAAAATTACTGAAGTAATATTCTGACGTGTCGTGAAATGGATGCCCGAGTTTGGACAATTCTGTCCGAGTTAATTGTCCTAAACAAATAATCTACTTCTTTAAAAGTTGTTTGGTTAAAATTGATCACATCTTTGTTAGTATATTTCTAGATATATTTATTAGTCAATAGATATATTTATTTGTCAATCGCAAATCCATTTGCCTTTTAGGTTAATGTATTAATGCAATTTTGTGGGTGCTGTACATTTCATTTTGTATATGAATCATAGATCAAACTATAGGTAATATTCATAAAATTTGGGGTTTAAATCTAAACTTAATTAATATAACAACAACTGTATTATACGGACCAATTAAATTTAAAAAAAAATCTTGTTTGGCCTGGATAGAAGTGTACAGATCTAATATTATTATATACATGTATATAGTTCTTTAAAAAAAATGTCATGTTGGGAAAATTAGAAATGTTTGTACTTTATAATTCCATTTGAATAATATTCCATAATTCTTTCTGCTCGTTAAAAGTCTAGATATGTATATATTGTCAGTGTCTTTTTGATTATTTCTGTATGTGACATGCAAGACTGGTTGTCACTATTTCTCATGACAGACTATATACCTCTACAATAAAACCTCTTTTTAATTGTGACCTCGACCGTTATAAGTGAACAAATTCATAAATTATTATGATTGTTGTAGAATTGCACAACAAAAAATAATGGTCAATCGAAAGTTGGCACTATCCATGTGAAAAAATACCTCTAACTTTGTTATGTGTATTTGCTTTAATTTTTTTTACATTATATTTTTTGTATTTTTTCTATTACAATGTAATAGAGTTACACTCTATTGTGATAGAGTTAATATCAAAAATCATTTTACAATATTTTCCAGAGGGAAGCAGTTTGATAGAAGAGTTAATATCCAAATCATTTTACAATATTTTCCAGAGGGAAGCAGTTTGATAGAAAAGTTAATATCCAAATAATTTTACAATATTTTCCAGAGGGAAGCAGTTTGATAGACATGGCTGATGGAGTCCTGTTCCACTCCCCCTACTGCAAGCTTGTCCAGAAATCCTTTGCTAGGCTCATGGCAAATGATTTTCTCAGCGACCCAAACCCAGATTTTAAGGGTCGATATGCTGGCTTGGAAGCTTTCAGGTGAGACTGAGTCTATTTCTTTTTTATAAAGACAAAGTTTGAAATATTTTTACTGGCTTAGTTGTATGTTCCCAAAAAGTGCTGTTTGATACATGCCATATTTTCCAGTGCAAAATAATGAGATCAGCAAAAGTTTTTGTGAGTTTTGGTCAAAAATAGTGCGATTTATTCTCTCAATATGTGAGAAATTAGCAAGACTTTTAAACAAGTATTTTTTTGTAAATTAGTATTATCTCATTTATGTTGTAAACTAGAAATACCATTACATATAACATAGTATTATCTCCTTTATGTTGTAAACTAGAAATACCATTACATATAACATAGTATTATCTCCCTTATGTTATAAACAAGAAATACCATTACATATAACATAGTATTATCTCCTTTATGTTGTAAACTAGAAATAACATTACATATAACATAGCATTATCTCCTTTATGTTGTAAACTAGAAATACCATTACATATAACATAGTATTATCTCCTTTATGTTGTAAACTAGAAATACCATTACATATAACATAGTATTATCTCCCTTATGTTGTAAACAAGAAATACCATTACATATAACATAGTATTATCTCCCTTATGTTGTAAACAAGAAATACCATTACATATAACATAGTATTATCTCCCTTATGTTGTAAACAAGAAATACCATTACATATAACATAGTATTATCTCCCTTATGTTGTAAACAAGAAATACCATTACATATAACATAGTATTATCTCCCTTATGTTGTAAACAAGAAATACCATTACATATAACATAGTATTATCTCCCTTATGTTGTAAACAAGAAATACCATTACATATAACATAGTATTATCTCCCTTATGTTGTAAACAAGAAATACCATTACATATAACATAGTATTATCTCCCTTATGTTGTAAACAAGAAATACCATTACATATAACATAGTATTATCTCCCTTATGTTGTAAACAAGAAATACCATTACATATAACATAGTATTATCTCCCTTATGTTGTAAACAAGAAATACCATTACATATAACATAGTATTATCTCCCTTATGTTGTAAACAAGAAATACCATTACATATAACATAGTATTATCTCCCTTATGTTGTAAACAAGAAATACCATTACATATAACATAGTATTATCTCCCTTATGTTGTAAACAAGAAATACCATTACATATAACATAGTATTATCTCCCTTATGTTGTAAACAAGAAATACCATTACATATAACATAGTATTATCTCCCTTATGTTGTAAACAAGAAATACCATTACATATAACATAGTATTATCTCCCTTATGTTGTAAACAAGAAATACCATTACATATAACATAGTATTATCTCCCTTATGTTGTAAACAAGAAATACCATTACATATAACATAGTATTATCTCCCTTATGTTGTAAACAAGAAATACCATTACATATAACATAGTATTATCTCCCTTATGTTGTAAACAAGAAATACCATTACATATAACATAGTATTATCTCCCTTATGTTGTAAACAAGAAATACCATTACATATAACATAGTATTATCTCCCTTATGTTGTAAACAAGAAATACCATTACATATAACATAGTATTATCTCCCTTATGTTGTAAACAAGAAATACCATTACATATAACATAGTATTATCTCCCTTATGTTGTAAACAAGAAATACCATTACATATAACATAGTATTATCTCCCTTATGTTGTAAACAAGAAATACCATTACATATAACATAGTATTATCTCCCTTATGTTGTAAACAAGAAATACCATTACATATAACATAGTATTATCTCCCTTATGTTGTAAACAAGAAATACCATTACATATAACATAGTATTATCTCCCTTATGTTGTAAACAAGAAATACCATTACATATAACATAGTATTATCTCCCTTATGTTGTAAACAAGAAATACCATTACATATAACATAGTATTATCTCCCTTATGTTGTAAACAAGAAATACCATTACATATAACATAGTATTATCTCCCTTATGTTGTAAACAAGAAATACCATTACATATAACATAGTATTATCTCCCTTATGTTGTAAACAAGAAATACCATTACATATAACATAGTATTATCTCCCTTATGTTGTAAACTAGAAATACCATTACATATAACATAGTATTATCTCCCTTATGTTGTAAACAAGAAATAACATTACATATAACATAGTATTATCTCCCTTATGTTGTAAACAAGAAGTAACATTACATATAACATAGTATTATTTCCTTTATGTTATAAACTAGAAATACCATTTCATATAACATAGTATTATCTCCCTTATGTTGTAAACAAGAAATAACATTACATATAACATAGTATTATATCCCCTATGTTGTAAACAAGAAATAATATTACATATAACATAGTATTATCTCCCTTATGTTGTAAACAAGAAATAACATCACATATAACATAGTATTGTTTTGTGTTTTTAGATAGATTTCTATAGAAGTACAATCAACAAAACAAATCAAACATTTCAAAAGGCTTTTATTGGCAGGTTTCATAGCATATTAGGGTGCTTCAGGCTTCTGTTTCTGACAACCGAAGTTGATCAGTGTTGTACGAGATATTTTTGATGTCTCGACTTTAAAGTTTTGTATACTAGGCTATATCTCTTGGGTGAGTGCTTTATTCTGATGCATCATTTGTCTGTCCCCAGAGATATGCAACTAGACCAGTGCTACTTTGACAAAGAGGTAGAGAAGGCCTTCATGACTGCAAGTAAACCTCTCTTTGAAGAAAAGACGCGGAAGTCCATGTTGCTAGGCAACCAAGTTGGAAACATGTATACACCTTCCCTATATGGTGGATTAGTTTCTCATTTAGTGAGGTAAGTAATTACCTGTCTTTCTATGTAGGGAAGACTTTTGTCTCATATGGTAGGTTGAGTCTGTACATACCTGGGCTCTATCTGTAGGGAGGACTGGGGTCTCATCTAGTGACATGAGTCTGTACAAACCCGGGCTCTATCTGAAGGGGAGACTTGGGTCTCATATGGTAGGTTGAGTCTGTACATAGCTGGGCTCTGTCTGTAGGGAGGACTGGGGTCTCATCTAGTGACATGAGTCTGTACATACCCAGGCTCTGTCTGTAGGGAGTACTGGGGTCTCATCTAGTGACATGAGTCTGTACAAACCCGGGCTCCATCTGAAGGGGAGACTTGGGTCTCATATGGTAGGGGGAGTCTGTACATAGCTGGGATCTGTCTGTAGGGAGGACTGGGGTCTCATCTAGTGACATGAGTCTGTACATACCCAGGCTCTGTCTGTGGGGAGAACTGGGGTCTCATCTAGTGACATGAGTCTGTCTGTAGGAATATTGGGGTCTCATCTAGTGACATGAGTCAGTACATAGCAGGACACTGTCTGTAGGAGGACTGGGGTCTCACATAGTGACATGAGTCTGTACACACCCAGGCTCTGTCTGTAGGGAGAACTGGGGTCTCATCTAGTGACATGAGTCTGTCTGTAGGAATGTTGGGGTCTCATCTAGTGACATGAGTCTGTACATACCCAGGCTCTGTCTGTAGGGAGGACTGGGGTCTCATCTAGTGACATGAGTCTGTACATAGCCAGGCTCTGTCTGTAGGAGGACTTGGGTCTCATCTAGTGACATGAGTCTGTACATACCCAGGCTCTGTCTGTAGGGAGGACTGGGGTCTCACATAGTGACATGAGTCTGTACACACCCAGGCTCTGTCTGTAGGGAGGACTGGGGCCTCATCTAGTGACATGAGTCTGTACATAGCCGGGTTCTGTCTGTAGGAAGACTTGGGTCTCACATATTGACATGAGTCTGTACACCCCCAGGCTCTGTCTGTAGGGAGGACTGGGGTCTCATCTAGTCACATGAGTCTGTACATACCTGGGCTCTGTCTGTAGGGAGGACTGGGGTCTCATCTAGTGACATGAGTCTGTACATACCCGGGCTCTGTCTGTAGAAAGACTGGGGTCTCATCTAGTGACTTTAGTCTGTACATAGCCGGGCTCTGTAGGGAGGACTGGGGTCTCATCTAGTGACATGAGTCTGTACATGGCCGGGCTCTATAGGGAGGACTGGGGTCTCATCTAGTGACTTTAGTCTGTACATAACTGGGCTAAGTCTGTAGGGAAGACTGGGATCTCATCTAGTGACATGAGTCTGAACACACCCAGGCCCTGTCTGTAGGGAGAACTGGGGTCTCATCTAGTGACATGAGTCTGTACATAGCCGGGCTCTGTAGGGAGGACTGGGGTCTCATCTAGTGACATGAGTCTGTACATAGCCGGGCTCTGTAGGGAGGACTGGGGTCTCATCTAGTGACATGAGTCTGTACATAGCCGGGCTCTGTCTGTAGGGAGGACTGGGGTCTCATCTAGTTACATGAGTCTGTACACACCCAGGCTCTGTCTGTAGGGAGAACTGGGGTCTCATCTAGTGACATGAGTCTGTACATAGCCGGGCTCTGTAGGGAGGACTGGGGTTTCATCTAGTGACATGAGTCTGTACATAGCCGGGTTCTGTCTGTAGGAAGACTGGGGTCTCACATATTGACATGAGTCTGTACATACCCAGGCTCTGTTTGTAGGGAGGACTGGGGTCTCATCTAGTGACATGAGTCTGTACATAGCTGGGTTCTGTCTGTAGGGAGGACTGGGGTTTCATCTAGTGACATGAGTCTGTACATAGCTGGGCTATGTCTGCAGGGAAGACGGGGGTCTCATCTAGTGACATGAGTCTGTACATAACCTGGCTCTGTCTGTAGGGAGGACTGGGGCCTCATCTAGTGACATGAGTCTGTACATAGCTGGGTTCTGTCTGTAGGAAGACTTGGGTCTCACATATTGACATGAGTCTGTACATGGCCGGGCTCTATAGGGAGGACTGGGGTCTCATCTAGTGACTTTAGTCTGTACATAGATGGGCTCTGTCTGTAGGGAGGACTGGGGTCTCATCTAGTGACATGAGTCTGTACATGGCCGGGCTCTATATGGAGGACTGGGGTCTCATCTAGTGACTTTAGTCTGTACATAGATGGGCTCTGTCTGTAGGGAGGACTGGGGTCTCATCTAGTGACATGAGTCTGTACATAGCCGGGCTCTGTAGGGAGGACTGGGGTCTCATCTAGTGACTTAAGTCTGTACATAGATGGGCTCTGTCTGTAGGGAGGACTGGGGTCTCATATACTGACTTAAGTCTGTACATAGATGGGCTCTGTCTGTAGGGAGGACTGGGGGCTCATCTAGTTACATGAGTCTGTACACCCCCAGGCTCTGTCTGTAGGGAGACCTGGGGTCTCATCTAGTGACATGAGTCTGTCTGTAGGAATATTGGGGTCTCATCTAGTGACATGAGTCTGTCTGTAGGAATATTGGGGTCTCATCTAGTGACATGAGTCTGTCTGTAGGAATATTGGGGTCTCATCTAGTGACACGAGTCTGTACACACCCAGGCTCTGTCTGTATGGAGGATTGGGGTCTCACATATTGACACGAGTCTGTACATAGCCGGGTTCTGTCTGTAGGAAAGACTAGGATCTGATCTAGTGACACGAGTCTGTACATAGCTGGGCTATGTCTGCAGGGAAGACGGGGGTCTCATCTAGTGACATGAGTCTGTACATACCCGGGCTCTGTATGTAGGGAAGGGGTCTCATCTAGTGACATGAGTCTGTACATAGCTGGGTTCTGTCTGTAGGAAGACTTGGGTCTCACATATTGACATGAGTCTGTACATACCCGGGCTCTGTATGTAGGGAAGACGGGGGTCTCATCTAGTCACATGAGTCTGTACACACCCAGCCTCTGTCTGTGGGGAGGACTTGGGTCTCATCTAGTGACATGAGTCTGTACATACCTGGGCTCTGTCTGTAGGGAAGACTGGGATCTCATCTAGTGACATGAGTCTGAACACACCCACACTCTGTCTGTAGGGAGAACTGGGGTCTCATCTAGTGACATGAGTCTCTACATAACCTGGCTCTGTCTGTAGGGAGGACTGGGGTCTCATCGAGGGACATGAGTCTGTACATACCCAGGCTCTGTTTGTAGGGAGGACTGGGGTCTCATCGAGGGACATGAGTCTGTACATACCCGGGCTCTGTCTATATGGAGGATTGGGGTCTCACACATTGACACGAGTCTGTACATAGCCGGGTTCTGTCTGTAGGAAAGACTGGGATCTGATCTAGTGACACGAGTCTTTACATAGCTGGGCTATGTCTGCAGGGAAGACGGGGGTCTCATCTAGTGACATGAGTCAGTACATAACCTGGCTCTGTCTGTAGGGAGGACTGGGGTCTCACATATTGACACGAGTCTGTGCATAGCCAGGCTCTGTCTGTAGGAGGACTGGGGCCTCATCTAGTGACATGAGTCTGTACATAGCTGGGTTCTGTCTGTAGGAAGACTTGGGTCTCACATATTGACATGAGTCAGTACATACCTGGGCTCTGTCTGTAGGGAAGACGGGGGTCTCATCTAGTCACATGAGTCTGTACACACCCAGCCTCTGTCTGTGGGGAGGACTTGGGTCTCATCTAGTGACATGAGTCTGTACATACCTGGGCTCTGTCTGTAGGGAGGACTAGGATCTCATCTAGTGACATGAGTCTGTACACACCCAGCCTCTGTCTGTGGGGAGGACTTGGGTCTCACATATTGACATCAGTCTGTACATACCTGGGCTCTGTCTGTAGGGAGGACTGGGGCCTCATCTAGGGACATGAGTCTGTACATCCCTGGGCTCTGTCTGTAGGGAGGACTTGGGTCTCATCTAGCGACATGAGTCTGTACATAACTGGGCTCTGTCTGTAGGGATGACTGGGGTCTCATCTAGGAGTCTGTACATAGCTGTGTTCTGTCTGTAGGAAGACTGGGGCCTCATCTAGGGACATGAGTCTGTACATGCCTGGGCTCTGTCTGTAGGGAGGCCTGGGGCCTCATCTAGTGACATGAGTCTGTACATACCCGGGCTCTGTCTGTAGGAAGACTGGGGTCTCATCTAGTGACATGAGTCTGAACGTACCCAAGCCTTATCTATCATTAGGCTGGTATATTTCCTGAAGATGTGTGTTAACTAAAGATTGAAACATGTTTTGTCCTCCGTTTAGAGATACATAACATGGTAGTATTTTATAAATCTGGACAGGATTGACAGGCAATTCAAGTATTGTGAGTTAGAATTTAATGACATTTGTCTTACAATTATCTGCAAGATGACATAGCTCCAATTCTTGACACAACAAAGCTGAAAAGAAATTTAGCAGCTTTCCACAACTTAGTTTAACACATTTTGATTTAGAATGTGGATGGCATGTATTTGTATGTTTTGATATATGTTTTTCCTGAAGTCACACTGTTGAACAGCTGGCTGGTCAGAGAATTGTCCTGTTCTCCTACGGGTCTGGATTAGCGTCCTCCATGTTTTCCTTGCGCATCACTGATGATACTTCCCTCGGTTCTGGTCTGCAGACACTGTACTCCTGTCTTTTTGACGTCAAATCTCGATTGGAGAGCAGGCAGAAGATTCCTCCGCAAGACTTTGATCGCATCATGAAACTTAGAGAAGATACCCATAATAAAGGTTTGCAGAAAAATATTACAACAATGCTGAAATTTAAAGTCAAGTGCACTGGTGTATAAATTGGTTTACTTGTGATTAAAAGTTGTAATTGAGATGAAATTGAATATATGAATGTCAAGTGAAAAATGGAAAGCAAAATTCAAACCAACATCATCATAGAATATTTAAAGAAAATTTAATATCGTTAATGCAAGGGACATAACTGTGCTCTCATCTTTATAAAATTATCTCCCTTAGACTGCTCATAAATGCACTTAGGGTAAATTAATGCCATATTTCCTGCATTACACTATGCAATCTTAATAGTCAGTTGGGAATATTAATTTCTTTATAAATATAAAAATCAATCTACGAGAAAAATAACTTTTCCTTGTGTCTTTTGTAAGTGTCAAGAGGTAAGCAACAATGATGCATGAAATAGATTGGTATTCGCAAAAAAAAAGCTGTACAAGTAAAAAGTCAAACTTAGCAGTATGATGCATATACTGTTGAGATGATTAGTATTAATCCAACAGATAAGGAAAAGGAAAGTTTAACTTTACAAAGATTTAAGTAAAATCTTGTGATAGTAGGGACTATGATGCCTCTAGGGTTGCGTGAAACTTGTTACCATTCATGTTTTCATGTCTGTGGTCCATCTGTCATTCCGTCCATCCTCAAACATTCCTTGTTAGGGCTATTTATCAGAAAGTACTTGAGGGATCTTTATTAAATTCTACATGCAGGGTCCCCATGGTCATACATTTTTGGACTGATTGAAAAACCAAGATGGCTGCCTTCGGCCATAGAACTGAACAATAATGATGTCATATTTGGAAAAGCAACACATAAACAGGATGTTAATGCTCTAAACAGTATTTTGCTGATTGCTAAGCACCACATTCATAAACAAAAATTAAAAACTAGTAGACCCAATATTGCTTACTTTAAGAGACCTGGAAGACTACATTAGGATATAACAGGTAATTCACAAAAAGAACATGGACTACAACTAGTTTGAAAATAAATGGTTCCAAATAGTCTAACTTAATTGCCTTATAGACATGTTAGCGGTATTAAGCATTTTGTATATGAGTGAATGGATGGATGAAAGTAATATGTTATGTGTATAAAGTTGAAAAATGTCTTTTTTTGCAATAGGTATGTATTGGTACTCCAGCTGTAATAGACATAGCAGCATAAATAATCGAACAAAAGTATATTTTTGCTCTTCAATGCAGAATCTGAGTTTAACAAATATATGATCAAATTGAAACATTCTCTCGCATTGATGTACTCCATTGTAAAATTGTGTTGTCATTGTCATTATATTTTGCAAAAAGGAAAATATAAAAGTGTCAAATCAAAAAAAAGTTTATATGGGAGCTGGGGGTAAAAGTTAGCCTTTAACTTACAGTTTAAGTTTGTATGGGAGCTGGGGGGGAACGTTAGCCTTTGGCTTACAGTTATAGTTTATCCTAGTTATTGCAAGAAGTACTTAAATACCAACAACTCGTGTGTGATTTACATAACAAATTATCTCCCTTAGACTGCCCGCAAACTGTTAGATACATTGTTGTATCAAAAAGCTGCTGAATTAAACATTTCAATCACATCTTTATCTTTTTTAAGCTAAAAAATTATCTAACAATTAATATATTTATCTTAAGTGGTTTTATGTGAAGGATTTATAGATGTACATTTATGAAGATTATAGTGTATTTTTACAAAAGAATTTTTCGCACCTTTCTTATTTCTAATCATTTATGATGTACCTTTTCATATAGAGCCATTGGTCATTCAAATCCCCCTTTGTTCCTCGTAAGTCTTATAATAAAAAGACTCCAGTTTATTTTTCAGTTTGTTCTGATAATTATAGAGGCTTTTGTTTTCCATCCCATTTCAGCTCCCTATGTACCAGTAGGACCTACCGATACCCTTTTCCCAGGGACGTGGTACCTAACAGGGATTGACAGCATGCACCGCCGATCATATGCTACAGTACCACCACTGCCTACATCTGTAGCAAACGGCCATGCCACATCAAGTGTTCAACCCACACCAGTGGACCTCTCCAGACAGGTAAGGTTAATGGTCTGTGTTCTGTACAGTAAAATAGGAAAGAATAAAGTCACAGTGTCAATACACATCGGCAAAATGCAAATTGAAATTTGATAGAAAAAGACGACACAGACGTGAAAATGTGATGAACCTACATGAAAAAATGGCATTAAAACCATGAAGTATTTGCTTGATTTTGATGAATTTCACATTACCTACAGTAGTTACCAAGTGTTAATTTCTTATTCGTCATATAGAACAAACACCAAAACTAGAAGAACATAGATACCTTTTTGAACTTAGGAGATGTCAGAATTTTATGTGATTCTATTATTTGATGTTTTAAGTTATCTTCAAGATCCTGATGTTCCTGTCAGTAACAGTTTTGTATGTGCTACTGTTGTAATTAAAAGTGTATCTGATTGTGTGATTCAACGATATTAAGACAAAATCTAATTTGGGAGATTCACCTTCAAAAAGTATTTAGATTTTTTTTTTAAGTTCAACAAGCTCACTAAAATAACACCAAATTGTTAAGTTATATTTAAAGACTAAAATGCATAATTCAGATACATGTACCATATTTGCCGTAATTAGTGCCCAAGGTGCTTTAAAAAGTTGGATAAAAAGGGGGCGCTTATGGGGATAAGTAGTAGAAAATGTTGTGCAACTTCAACATTCCAGTGTCGCTGAAGTTTCGAAAATAAGATTGTAATCTTTTGCACACTTCATGGAAATCCATCCATGATCACCACACATAAATCTCTGCTTTGAAGTGTACTTACAATTAATCATTGATTAGGCCTGGTCAGGTCTAGGAGGGGGTTTACGTAATTTCCATTCCGCCCCAAAAAGGGGGAGGGGTATTATAAGGGAAGAGCGCTAATTAAGGTGAATGCCGTATGAAATTTCGATGTATATTGAACTTGTATGTTTGTTATCAGACTTCACTATGTAGTTTTATATGTCTTTTAATAAAATATTTCATCCACATCATATTATGCCAATCTCTTGTAATCAAAATAGATGTTACATAATGGTACATTTTCTCCTACCGTTGACTGAATTGTCTCAGGTTCACCAGTTAGATAATTTCTGTCACCCACTAGGGTATGATCTCTCTGGAACAATCAGATATGACATCATAATCAGCTCCTGACAGAAGAGGCCATGTGTAAATCAAGATAACAAACAGTTTACAAATGCTAAAAAATATTGTTTGTTGGCAACTTGGCAATGTAGCAGAGATCATTATTTTTTTAATGCCTCCACTAGGAGTCAAACCCGGAACCTCTGACTCACTAGTCTTATTCTCTACCGAATGAGCTAAAGAGAAATTCTCCCGAGCCAAGTCAGTAGGAAGCGGCTAGTAATTTACCAGAGTGACATAAACATAAAATTGGAGGGATGGGAGAAAATAATCATTTCCTACCTTGAGGGTGTAAGGAAGAGGTCTCCAACCCTCGAGGTCAATATTTGGTCGTCTAACCCTCGACAGTCTCAGATAACACAACCAATTAATAACCCCTCGGGTTGGAGATTTCTCTGCCACACCCTCAAGGTAGAGGATGAGTCTATTAATCCAAAGATCTTACTGGTCTTTTACAAGCTGTATAGAGTGCTACCTTTGTTGTGTCCAGTATATAATTTTGTGTGTTGTTCTAACTCTACCTTAGTTTTGTATTCATGACAAACTTTCAACATCTTTCCATTGTAGTTTGCTGCGTTTTTTATAGTAGATGTTAAGTTGTTGTTGTGTATTTCACTTTGCTTACCATTAGATATCTATTTCTCACCCCTACTTCTCGTTATAACTTTGATCTATCGAGGTAGAATAACTAATCTATATTTTGTTTTACCCTAGACTTAGTTATATGCTGTTTTTTTGTTATATGACATATTTTACCTCTAGAGGTTTAGTCTTTGTAGTTTTATTTTTCACTTCAGGTATATTCTGAGACATTTTGACTTTCTAGATGTTCAGAGGTGTATTTTATGATTTAAACTCTAGAGGTTGATTTTTATGATTTTTGACCTCTTGTTTTGTAACTTCTCCTTGATATAGTCTTTTCTAACCTTTCACCTCTGTCTGTATTTTGGTTTATATAATATTTACTCGCCTGATTTTTCCACGATTCTGCTCAACTATCATAATTTGTTGGATGGAGATTACTTTCATTGTGTGCTTCTTGTTCTTTTATTGTACAAGTCTTTGCCTTCTCAATACTAACAAGTGTGTGCACCTTCCAGTTGATGTCAGCTGTGCTTGGTAGTCAGGTTAATGGTAATTATTGGTTTGTATGTGACTTCAGAGAAAACGAAAGACGGAGGATGAAACAGGAAGTAGCTCTGTAAAAATGTCCTCGCCAAGTTTACCTGGTGATTCCTCCCTGGTTCCTGATGTGATTGCCCCGTCTGCTATTGTTGAGGTACCTATGGTGTTGTTAAAATATATAACAAGATTTAAATACTGGTCAGTTGTCTATCCTCTGATGCTGTAGTCCAGCCTTAAGTGAAATAGTTGGTCTGCATGTTTCTTCTTGTTATGGAATAGGCGCTAGAAATAGGAGGTTTAATCAAAATCTGACTCTCATACGTGATTTGCTTCAGTGCAAGAAAAAGAGGTTTGTGCAAATGATTTTTTTTTTATATTTGCAAAACAAAATAACTTATATATGTATCAGTTCTGTGATCATCACAGACCAAGCTAGAGTGACAATTTGTTAAAATACTTTACTTTTTTGTTTTAATTTTTCAGACAAAACAGTCCTCTGTGCTGGAAGCTTGTCAATCAGGGGTAACGGCGAAAATATCACAATCTTGACGTGGGCTTTCACTACAGCGGACATTTTATTAATATCTAAAAAAAATTGTACTTTAAAAACATCACCTCTGTATATTGATGCCCCTTGCCAGATCACTCAATTGGTGATCCTATTAAATGTCATTTGTCAGTAAAAGCTTACATAAACTGTATGGATATATTTTGTTAACTCATTTACCCCTGAAATTTCATAATGAACTATTCCAACCTTTGAATTGGAAGAGAAAAAATGTGTCTTCAGGGGTGAATGAGTTAATTCACAGAGCTTCTAAAGGAACATTGTTAGCTTTTATCAACAGTAAGTTCATGCCCAGTAATAAAGCAATCCCCTTGTACATAACGGGTGTTGTATAGGAAAATTGTGTTTTGATTTTAAGTCCATCCTTTCTGCATTTTAAGTCAAATTTGAGATTATTAAAGCAGTGTACATTTTACTGAAGGAAATTTACTGTTGTGGAAAAGCACTTTTCTATCTTCGCATTCACAGTATAAAACAAATGTCTGGAATAAGATCGTTTTCGATGTATTAAACGACTAGAAATTGTAAAAGTTTTAAAATATGGTAATTATTATGGTATTAAAGTGTTCACTAGGAGCTAAAAAAAATCTGTTCATGACTAAAAGTGTGTAGAATATTATTGAGCGATTTTCTGTATGATCCTACTGAACTCATTCACCCCTGAAGTTTCATAATGAACTATTCCAACCTTTGAATTGGAAGGGTTCAAATGTGTCTTCAGTGGTGAATGAGTTCCTTGGATTGATAAACTGGTGAAAGGATTGTAGCATGTTAGTGTAAGGATGGAGTTGGGGTAATTCTACATATGACAAAGTGTGTGTAGTGTGGCTGCTAGTCAGTTACCCATAGTAGGCATACATTTCCTACTGTTCCTTTATGTATTAGCAACTATTATATTTCATATTTTAGTCAATGTTCCAGTTAACCAAATCTTACATAATCATGAAATTCCTACTGGTAGACACTAGTAACAATGCATGTTTTTAGGAAGATAATCTTGTGAATAATCCTATTTGTTCAAAGTCTGCTTAGTGTAATAATGAGATATAACCTGTTTATCTGGCTTTGAACAAATGGGCCATCAAATTTTCACTTTTTCCCCCCCATAGGAATTGTAAATGTAATGCATTGTAACATGAATTAATATGAATTGTTATATGCTAATATTCTGACTATGACTATGATGAATCAAGAATATGTATGATTTACTTTCTACATACCGGTATTTCCTAAACATTTATATTTGGAGTTACAAGCTTAAAATGTACGTGTGTCATGTTAATTATTTTCAGGAAATATATTTTGTGATATGTTATTAGTTTCTAAATACTAGCTAGGTTATTATTAGCTAATTTACACAAAGCTTTACCATTAGGTGTTTTAGGATGATATAGGATGCTTTTGAAGATGGCTACTCTGCATATCTCTCTTCCAGTAGTTAAACTCTCTGTGATCAGCCTACCTTATTGTCTGATATGAGAGGGGACTCAAGCAATTTCATTGTTCCCTAGTTTTAATGTTGCCCGAGAACATGATGGAGACGATGACCCTGCAATACTTTGCCTTGTTTGATAGTTATATTCAACTTTATGTGTTAAAGATAGGTTCGTGCTGATAATAGAGCTTAAAAATTTCTGAAAATCAGTGTCATCATTGACAATCCAGAGGTGTTTTTTAACTTAACCCAATGCTTGTTTATAACCTGTCAGAAGGATGTCTGAAATGTATCAAGTACCTGTTGGTAAAAGTAAAACTTATAAAAATGTACACAATCAGCTTGAAAGGTCAATGACTTAACACCATGACACTCATCACCTAGCAAGAGATTGAAAAGTGACAAGCATTTATTGAATCACTGTAGTGTTTGTTTTCAATGTATAAAGCTTGCACACCACTGGCTAATCACAGTGGTTTACAGAAATTTATGTATTTAATTTTTGTATCACAAATTGAATGAATTCCAAATCTTTATCCACGTAGATAGCATTGTGTACACAAAATCTTTGTAGATTTTTACTGTAGGTTTTTTCATCATAGATAATATTATATTAAGTTTAATATATGATTTTTTATATATTTACCAGAAGAAAATGTTTTCATAGGGCTGTGAATGCAATGGGATCAGTATCAATTTGATGCTCGAGACCATTATAAGTTACAAACATTTAGGTGATGTTCCATTATACCAGGATTATCATTTGCACTCAAAAAACAGACACTTCAATACCGCAAATATTAAGGAGTACTAATAAGATCACTAATAACTCTCTAAACTTAGAATGTGAACGTTTGTCTTGATATTCATGCTTGTATGAAAACTAGTCAGCTACATGAGTATTTACAACAAAATGAACCAATGGAATAAATATGTACCTATTAACATGCACCATAGAATATGTTTGCCAACTGCATTCATACTACCGTATACGCCGTCAAAATGAAGGTCAATCCTTAAATGAATGTTTGAGATAATGCTGTTCATTCCGTATGTATGAGAGATGGTCGTTTTATATGTTTACTGTAGATTGTATCATTATAGAATTCTATTAGTTTAACTCTGACCTGCGAGAAACGTTTTGATACATGAGATTTATGTCTTGTAAATAAATTCAAGTTATTATTTTATCGATTAACAGAGCCTGATTTCTTTTGATAACAAAAGTACTGTACTGTATGAAATAACTGAGCATTCTTGTGCATTTATTTTCAGCTTGATAAAAACTTCGGAATTGAATTAGTATTACAGTACATTATTATATATATATGTACAACCTTTGGTATTATAGATTTTTACTTTATGCAGAATGAAATATTGAATGCCAAAAGCAAAAATAACGAGTTTTAAACACAAGTGTATTTTTTACATGGTGGCAGTTTCAAATCCAGAAGAAATTGTCTTAAAAGGTCAGATGTAAAAATAACCTTCTGGTACAGAAATATAAGGGTTTACATATCTTTATAACTTGCCATTTTATTTAGTTTTAATGATTATTATATATATCATGGTGCTCATCATTATCCATCTGTTTGTATATCACTTTTTGAAGATTTTGTTTTTTTGATTCCCTTTATGTATGTATGGTGTTTAATGCTATGTTTTTCAAATTTATATTTATATATGCTCGTAATTCTCCTTAAAATATTTTGCAGATTTATGCTGATTTTAGATAAAAAGGACATAATGATATGATAATCTGACTTCAAAAATTGCCAAGTGAAATTGGGCTTTTAAAATTAAACATTTATACCGGTATATTTGTGTTCATATCTTAATAGATTTAAGAGTCCAGGGTATTACTTACAGGGTACAACTCTCTGTCTGAAAAATCATATATATATATATACCAGGGTGTATTAAGCTTTACATTCTGAACACAATTACTAGCCTTGTAGCAAGTGATATGTCATTTTTGATACAGTATCTGTCTGTAAAAAGACAAATGTATAGGTGTAGGAGTTTTTCAGGTTTATACCTAAACCAGTTTCTTGTTTTAGGTTTATGCATTCTTAGCAAGCTTTGAAATAGCCCAATGCAGTTAGTATCAGATATATTCTGGTAACTTTATATAAATTTATGATGGTAATCCTATTAAAATGTGATTTTTATTACACATACATATTGTATATCAATGTGATGTATGGAGATAGTTGTGTTGTAAATAGAGATTATTATGCTTCCATTAGTTTTATCATTGCAAGCAACAAAGTATCTCTAAACCTGTACAAAAATCTCTTAGTATTGAAATATTTGGAAATAATTAAAAAAAAAGTAAAAGTATAAAATTCATGAAAATAAGTTCCAGATCCTTCCCTATGTTGGCAAAAGAACTGGGAAGTGTTACTAAATATAAAAGTACCTGCGGTAACATTCTTGCTGTTACAGTGGCTAGGTGACCGTATCTAGCCATCTTACGATCAGGAATCCCCAGGGTTGTACCGAGAAGGTTTTAGGAAGCCAAACATCACTGTTTAGAAGGTGGTTTATGAAATGTGTCTGCCTGTGATTCTGTTTAATTGCTGGTTAAAAGATATGTATAGTCCTTGTTAGGCCTGTTTGTGAAAAGTGTGGAATACATGAAAAATAAACTGTGAACTTCTTTGCCCATGTGGCGAAACCATAATATTGTTAGTAGTGTCGCCATGTAATCAATTTGTAAAAAGGAAAAAAAATATACTGTATTGGTATGAAGTACAGAGGCAGAAAAAGACTACTAGGATAAAGAAGAGCACAAATGGAGAGAGAGATAATTTGAGAGATATAAAAAAAAAGATCGGAGAATATACAAGGAAAAGGTATATGATAGAATCCGCTCTGAACGGAGATGTAAAGAGAGTTTTATAAACCAAAAGTTTTTTCTCTTACCATATTATACACATGTAAATGTAAAGCCAAATGGGTTTCGCTTGTAATACCTCACCTTCTATCATATGCTTGTTTGTTTGTTTGTCTTTTCCTTTTTCTGTGAGAAAAGGAGTGCTTTTGTGTGTGATTATGGTATGTGCATGTAATATTTAACGGAGAAGTAAATATGACACAAATCGTGATAAAAAATAAACTGATTTAAACTTATTATTTCGTTGTTCTGTTCATTCATGGATCAATAATGAGGGATGTTACCCCTGTCTGTATCGCTCAAGTATAGTATAATATTAATATAACATTATATAGTAGCATCCAGTTACCAAGATGGTAACAAAGATATAATTGTACATGCATGAAAAAGCATCTCGATATGGTTTTTCATCTCAATAAAAACTAATACAGGATGCAAATAAATTATACTTAACTCGTTGTATGTCTTTTTTTCTGTCCAGATTACTTCATTTAAATATTTTGTTTTACAATTGAATCTTGTTTTCATTGAAGCCAGACTGCATCTAAAACAAGATAAATAGAGCAAGGTATTAACCGTTAAGAAGTCACTGCAGTGGTCCGTATACAGGACTTGTATATTGCCATGTTTCATCACACGAAAAACACCATGGCAGCGGAAAACAAATTTTGTCACTAGCAGACAAGTGCCATTTCGTGAAAAAGTGGACATTTCTAATTCCGCAAGATTTCTTGATGTACTGGTCATATTGACCAAAGCACTACTTTGTTTTCTGAATTTGTGCCAGATTGGAGCTTGTTGAAAAAAAGTCATTTATTCTCTATTCAATTATCTTTCGGTGATTTCATCACTCTTGTTTATGATGAGGTAAAAGGTAATTACATATGAGATATATACTATTAATAAAATAGCAGCACATTGAAAACAGAGTAGTATTGATACCATTCATAAGCAACATTGGAATTAACGTAATGCTAGAAACGGCATTACAGATTAATGATGAGCAACAACAGAAGTTATGGTAATTAAACCAATCTGTGTAATTCTATCCTTTTGTCAGCAAAATGTTTTGTTCTCGTCAGGACATGACTCCCGTTCGAAACTGAATGATATTGAGCTTGCATTACTAGCTGTTGTATGTATTCAATAATTGTAGATTTATCCTCTTGACTAGTACGGTTCACAGGTAGGAAAATATCCTTGTTTTTTTTCACTCAAAGAGAAAGTTATAGTTCTTTAGAAATACTGTTTTCAATTTTGCGTTATTCAAATGATAAATTAGTTTTAAGTTAAGGCAATGTATAAAATAAGCCTCGTTAATTTTTATGTTGTAATAAAGTTTCAAAGAGTTGAAACATAGACCAAATACAAAGTTGATGACTACAATTTCTCCGATTGCTGTATTTCTTTTCAAGCTGCCTCTGTTAATAGAATTTACAGATATCGCAGTTAATTCGTTTTCCATTAGAATCTATAGTATGTTGCTAAGTATGTACCACCTATGTGCCCAGTGGGATCTACATTGATGGCATTTATCTACACGGCTGTCGGTATGCCCGAGATCTCCGTGTGCAGTAACATACATGGAATCGTTGGTGAGCCACGTTCTTTACTGGACACGACGAGGGATACTTTGGCGGGTACCTATGTGATGCCTCATCCGGAGGAAGTGATTCTCGATAAGATTTTGTGGAGGTAAGTGCATAATCTCCTTTTCTTTAAATTTGATGTTGCCTTGTTTCTTATTTTGTTTTTGAATTCGAATTCTGGTGAATTTAAATTTAAATTTTGTCCTTTTGTGTTGACACTGTGGAATATATTTTATTCAATTTTATTTTGTATGCTTGTTCATTTTAACTCCTCAATACTCTGTACTTCTGGTTAATCGACTGGAGAAGCTTGTGACTATATTATCTCTCAGCTGTAAATGATTGGCAATTTTCCTTTTATTCCTCCATTTACTTAGCGCCAATTTTTAGTATTATCCATTTGATATGTATACTATGATTGACCTTTTACCTTTCGTATTAGTCATAATAAGTTTTTGCCGTGACATCAATTTATTGCCCGAGAGAGTATAGTTAATTCATTAAGATCGTTTTTCTTTTTAATAAATAGGACTGTAAACGGTGCAATTATGACATGAAATGAGTAATATCTATTGTTTCAAAGTGTATTGCTATATTCAGTGTATCATAGTGATGTTGTCTATACACACACTCCACGTGTCGATAGCCACGGTCTACCAGTATGATATATATATTCCGGACGTGTCTAGTATCCGGGCCATTCCTACCTTTATATTGGTGTTTTAACACCCACCACCTTTGTATCTTATACACACGCCACACCTCTGGGATATCCCAGGGCTTATCACCTCGTGCTAATATTGTGCAATTCTATCACATTCTTTCACTGGATGTTTTTATGAATGAACGGTTAGCAAACTTTCGTCATTCATAAAAACACGTGAAGTAATTTTAGTGTTGTTATTTTTTCGGTCATGATGACCTCATGATTTTTTATTGTCTGTTTTTGTTTCACGTTTTTTCTTGTTAAGACGAAGTCTGTGCTGATTGTGGATCACCTGATATTGTCGTATTTACTTACTAACCTGTTAACACTAATTAAGTCTTTAGTACATGGGTTTGGTCTATTTGGATCACCTTATACGAAATATATTGTCTTATTTACTTACTCAGCCTGCTCACACCAATTATGTCTGTACTTCCTTGGTTCAGTCGGTTTTCAGACGTTGCATCACCTTACTCAGTTACGTTCTACAGACCCTGGACCGTTTTTCTTTACCAAAAGTGCGTTGCGTTTGCGTTGAGTTTGCGTTTCGTTTCCGTTGCGTTTGCGTTGAGTTTGCGTTGACCGTGTAATATAATCTTGTCGGGTCGTACTCAAATCATTTGTTAAATAAACGTCGCAAGTAGACCCCGAGTAAGCTTTAGTTTGAAAGACGAGTCCGAATCACACAGAATATTTGAAAAAAACCTACAGATTACCGACTGTGTAGCTATAGACTTGGGCGAGTTGACCAACGCTTCCCCGAAGAAAGCAAAACGTACAATGCAATTGTCATACTTTTATTTAAAGTCAGGGTATTTTATTGTCGTGTGCATCATTTGCCAGGTCTATCGAATTGTCTTTTTAAAGTTCTACTTTCCCAATATTAATGTTTTCCAGTTATTTTTCAAGTGTCATAGCCGGGTAAATAGTCTTTCGCGTTCTCGGTACCCGGCAGCCGGGTAAATAGCCACTCCCCCCAAAAATAGTTATATCTATAATAAAGTTTGCAAATTAAAAATAAAATAAATATACAAATAAAATAGATAAATATGTAACGGAACGGCCTGGTCACTTCACTCAATATTGTTGCCCCTTAGTTCTAGACTAGATCGTTTGCTGGTAGCGCAAAAAAGCCAGCTGGTAACGCTCGACTTGAACGGTAGTACTGGTAGCGTACTTTGTAGAACTAACATGAAGTATTAAGTAGTTATGTGTTCCACATAGACTAATTTTATTAAATGACATATATAGTATGATATTCTCAATATCTATCACACAAATCTTATAGTAATCGAACAAACACACTAACCTTATCCTAGGTCTCGACACTGAAGTCTCCGGTAACGTGATCCCCGTAAGTAGAATATAATATAGATAAAATAGCTGAAATGGCTGAACTAGCCAATAATATTTAGATAAAGCTTTCCTAATAATAGTGACGATGTTATGAAACTGAATAATTAATGGTAATTTAGGTTGTAAAGGCCGAAAGAAGTATAAACTATGTCCGAAAGTCTCTAAGTCTGTAAGTCTCTAAGTCTAAAAGTCTCTAAGTCTAAAAGTCTCTAAGTATGTAAGTCTCTAAGTCTGTAAGTCTTTAAGTCTAAGTGTAAGTGATGTTAAAGGAAACATATCACTTTTACTATTCCGGCTTTGCAAAACTGAAATAATATGTATATATATTTGATGCGCCGACAGATCACATAGGAGGGTATAGGTGGTATTGGTGAGTTAGGAAGTACTGGTGATGTAGGAGGGTATATTTGGTATATGAAGTTAAGGTGCGTATGAAGGTATAGAAAGTAAATGTGACGTAGGATGGTATAGGTGGTGTAAGAGGGTATAGATGATGTAGTAGGGTATAGGTGGTGTAAGAGAGTGTATATGATGTAGAATGGTGTAGGTGGTATAGGACACATAGGTGATGTAGGAGGGTATATGTGGTATAGGAAGTAAAGGTGATGTAGGAGGATATAGTTATTAAAGGTGATGTAGGAGGATATATGAGGTTATAGGAAATATGAGCGATATTGGAGGGTATATGTGTTATATGACGTGTAGATGATGTAAGAGGGTATAGATGGTATAGGACGTAAAGGTGATGTAGGAGGGTATAGGTGTTATATGAAGTGAAGGTGATGTAGGAGGGTATAGATGGTATATGAAGTAAAGTTGATGTAGGAGGGTAAAGGTGGTATAGGAAGTAAATGTGATGTAGGAGGGTATAGATGGTATATGAAGTAAAGGTGATGTAGGAGGGTATATATGGTATATGAAGTAAAGATGATGTAGGATGGTAAAGGTGGTATAGGAAGTATAGGTGATGTAGGAGGATATAGGTGGTATAGGTGGGTTAGGAAGTATAGGTGATGTAGGAGGGAATATGTGGTATATGCAGTTTAGGTGACGTATGAAGGTATAGAAAGTAAATGTGACGTAGGATGGTATAGGTGGTGTAAGAGGGTATATATGATGTAGTAGGGTATAGGTGGTGTGAGAGGGTTTAGATGATGTAGAAGGGTATATGTGGTATAGGAAGTAAATGTGATGTAGGAGGGCAAAGGGGGTATAGGACGTATAGGTGATGTAGGTGGGTATATGTGGTATATGACGTGTTGGAGATGTAGGAGGGTATATGTGATATAGGAAGTAAAGGTGATGTAGGAGGGTATATGTGGTATAGGAAGTAAAGGTGATGTAGGAGGGTATATGTGATATAGGACGTATAGGTGATGAAGGAAGGTATATGTGGTATAGGACGTATAGGTGATAAAGGAAGGTATATGAGGTTTAGGACGTATACATGATGAAGAAGGGTATATGTGGTCTAGGAAGTGTAGATGATGAAGAAGGGTATAGGTGGTATATGACGTATAGGTGATGAAGGAAGGTATAGGTGGTTTAGGAAGTATAGATGATGAAGAAGGGTATAGGTGGTATA